AGTTCTTTTTTCTCTGTTAAAGCAAAATGGATGTCAAATAAAGTAATAGTCAGACACGTTTCTAGGTGAGTAAGAATGTATGTGAACAGGATACTCCAGCAAAGAAAACAAGAATATGTTTTAAATATAAATCTAATTCTTCAATGCAATTAGCAATGTCAAAGGTACTGCACGCCATTTGAAAGCATTTTAAAATCCTATCTTTTGAATAAAAGTTTAAAAATAAAAGAAAACTTTAAGTCTAAAAGAGCAGTTTTATTACTGCTAATCACTGCCTAAGGCATTGTTTCTTCTGGACAGTAATTTTTCCTTAAACTATTAAGAAAAATTAGACTGACAACATTGAAGATTAGTAAGACATTTGCTTCCTAGAAGTAGTAACATGTCAAAGAATAGCAATTTATTTGAATATTGTATTTATCTCTCATTAACGCAAAGAGACATTCAAGTCCACTGAGATTCACAAGATTTAACAAGATTCCCCACCCATGTTCCCCCTCTTCCCAGACAGTCTAGCTGCTGCAGCAAACTCAAAAGCTGGTGTTTTGGTTTACTTTTTGTATTTAGTATGCATGATAAAGGCTAGTTTCACCTCAGTATGGTTTCCATTATCAGAAAAAAATGTAATTGCAACACTAAGTTCTTCTAAAAGGGGGTTTCTAAGCCCAAGGACTTAATCAAAATGATTTCTTAAACCCAAACATAGTGTATAAAAGAATTTCACATCACTCTGAACTGAAAGCATCCACCCCTGAGGACGTTCTCATTAATAAAATAAATTCATTCATTTTAAAAAGAAATAAGAATGCTGGATTTGGATGTTTATTTCCCTGGCTTAAAATACATGAGCCACTGCTTAACACCACAAGAACTGGTAAATCTGTTTCCTATGTTTAAGTTTGACATTTCTATTTTCATAGTGGAAGTTTTAAGAGTTATCCTTACATAAGGTAACAAAACATATGAAACTGGGTGTGTTACAATAACCATGGGAAGCCAGCCTAAACTGGAAGCCAAAACTCAGTTACCCATGCTGACTTTTACACACCCTTGGAGAACGAGTCTTCTAGAAGCAATCACCACCCATGTCATGTAGTTATCTTACATAGCAAGCAAAATTTATGCTACTCAACTGTCTTAATTTTCATTTGACATCAGATCTTTGAGCACATACTTGGCTATTTAACACTTCCCTCATATCGCATGTCATTCTGCCACCTCTAGGTACGTGATCCCTGTCACATATGGGATGACAAGCCAGCAGGGTCCACAGCACAGTGGACAGTTCTACTGCTGACAGTAACATCTACCTCACAAGCGGTCACACGACTGGACAGCCGTTAATCGTGTGCTTGCTGAAGCACCACAGGCATATGCAGTTGAAAAAAAAAAAACCTGACAATCTGGAATAAGCATTTGGAAGCGGTTCAAATTCCATAAACCAGTTTCCCAACAAAAATACAGGGTTGTTTGATGGGTACATGTGCATTTTAACATAACTACAAGCCACAGAAAATGCCTAACTCGAACACCCTTTCAGTTTGCTACTGAAAATTTAAGTTTAAGAGGGTATCACAGCATTTCTACTGCCTCTTCCTGCAGACAATTTTCTGCATGGCTGAGTCATAACTAACATTACATCATCTTACCCAGGGAGGGGCACAATTTCCGTAGAGTAAGAACTACCTCTTACAACTAGAGCAGCACACTGAAGTTGCAGAAATCAAAGTGATCTAGGATACAAATACTGCATTGAGGGGGAAGGGCGGAGAAGAAAGCCCCAAACTAAACCTCTAGATGCTCGCAAAAATATATGTTGATTTTTCATAACTATTACTTTACATACAATAACATTTCAACGTGTCTCCAAATTCATTGGCATTCATAACTACCATGATTTGTATATAACCAATCAATACATTAAAGGGAAAGAAAAGTCAGACATTTTTTAAAGCCCTGTCCTTCAGAAATAGCATAGGAGGCCACAGCTTTCCTAACAGACTAGTAGTAGTCCCAGAGGGCCCAGCACCATTTACCCTTCAACTCTAAGTAAAAATGGATCAACAGTTTCATTATTTCTCACCAGCACATCATTGCAGATGTCTCTTAGCTCAGTCTCAATTTTCTCTCTGTATTCTCGAGCCATCTGCTGTTTTTTCTCAGCGCCTTCCGTCTTCTGTTCAATACTTGAGACGACTCTCCAAGATGACCTACGGGCTCCTACAACATTTTTATAGGCAACAGAGAGAAGATTCCTCTCTTCGTTGGACAATTCAGCTCCTTGCTCAGTCACAGACTTCATGCAACTTGCCATGTCATCATATCTTTCAGCCTGCTCAGCCAGTTTGGCCTTCTGTACCAGCTCATTTTTATCCATGCTGATATTTCTAAAGAGGAAAAATAGTGAGGAATTATTCAGGCATTGATCAAGAACAAAGGTTTCAAACTTGATATGCAGAGCAACCGTTCTCTAAGTAGTTTGGAACTGTAAGAGGTACAAGTGAAATCCAGAACTCAAGGCACTCAATGCTCAAACACATGGGTATGTGGAATAAAGAGTTAAAGTCACTGCTTCCTCCTGAAAAATTGTTAACTTTTAGAAGTATATTATTATTTTAATAAAGGCAAACAAAAGCATCCAAATGTGAATTGAAAGCAAATCATTCCTATCTCATACACATAAACGATTCTAGTTATTTGTCATCACTCTCTCCCAGCTGCAGCATCAACTGCATCCAATTATCGATATAACAAAATTGATGAAGAAAATATCCAGTAGCAAGTTTCTCCAGGAGAAGACCAAATAAAGGCTAGACAAACAGCACCAGGCAACTCTTTGTGCCTTAACAGAATCATATGGTTACATGCAGAAAGACCTGGCACAACGATCTGCAAATCAAATCCCACACTGGATGTTACAAAGTCAGAATGAACCAAATATCTAAATTTCAAGGTGTATACTCTTCAACAATGTTAACTTCCTTTCTCAAAATGAGATACAGTAGATGTTCTCAGCCACATACTGCTGCTCAGCCTGAGAGGCTATGCTTTCAGAGACAAAAGGAAATTTTACTATTTAAAAATGTTACTTTAACATCAGTATTTGAGATAGCGTGACCAGGCTGAGATGCTTTATAACCTGCATCTTATCAGCACTTGGGGGGGGAAAAAAAAAAAATAAAAAAAAAAAAATCAAGCTCTGCTTAACAGAGGTATCGGGTATTTTCTGGTTTTGGTACATCAGGAAAGATTACCCCTCACTCACCCCCCATCCTTTTATGTATTCTGACTTGATCATTTTGAGGCCTTGGCAATGTACTTCGGGATACATCATCCTTTAAAGTTTGACTAGATCATTAAAGCAAGACTCAATTTTGGCCACGTATGCTTTATCTATTTCTGTATGTTCCACACACAACAGTCCAGCATCTTAATCTTTAACCATTAACCTTTTTGTCATTTTACATGAACTTGCCACAGACCATCGCAGCGCTATCTTCCATTTTGGAATAAATTAAGCATGTTTTAACATTCCAGTCACCTGAAAGGGAAAGTTTTAGTAGCTCCTACCCCGAACGCCAGGGCACAAACTCACAGCTGCGGTTCTGCAGCGTTTGCAAACCGGACCGCTGGGCGAGCAGCGGGGTTAAGGAGCCATTTTAAAGAACGGGTTTGGCTACGGTTATTTACCACCCGGTGCGGTCAGGACCAGCGCGGTTAAAAAGCCAATCCCCCGGGGCCGCAGGCTGCCCGCAGGCTGCTCTGGCAGCATCCTCCGCAGGCGCGGCGAGGGCTGGGCGCTGCCCGCGGCTCCCCCACTCGCGAGGTGACAGCAGAAAACGGAGCGAACCGGAGAGGATGTGGGGGTTCGGGGGGGGGGGGGGGGGGGGGCGGTAGCGGGCGGCGCGACCCCCCGGGGCGAGGAGGCGCGCTGCGGGCCGGGCCGCCCCTCCCCGCGGCCGCCGCATCCGCCCGCCGCGGGGACACCGAGCGCCTCGGCGGCCGCCTTTGTCATGGCGGCTCGGCGCCGGAGCCCAGCCCACTTCAGCGCGCGTTAATCCCGCTCACCTCCGCCCAGCGCCGGGGGCGGCGGCGGAGGATGCCGCGTACCCGCCCCGGCTGCGGCCGGACGAGGGGAAGCCCGCGGGCCCAGTCACGGGCGGGGGGGGGGGGGGGGGCAGCGGAGGAGGAGCCCCATCCTGTCCCGGGGGGAGCCGCCGCTACCGCCCGGACCCCTCGCCCGGGGAGGGGGGTGCCGAGGGAGGGAGGGAGGGTGGGTGGATGGGAGCGGGGGGGGGTGGGCTGGGCGGAGGGAATCGAGCCCGACCAAGGGGCGGCCGCTGCGGCTCTGCCGCGCCCGGGCAGCGCTCCCGGCGGGCGCCAGACCACACCCAGCGGCGGCTGCCCGCGCCCCGGCCCCCCCCCCCCGCCCGGCGGAGGCGGCGCTGCCCCCTCCCCACGCACCCACGGCCGCGGGGTCGCCCCCGCCCGCCCGCCGCGCCGCGGGCGGGGCCCTCACCTACCTGCCTCCCCCTCCCCGCCGCCCCCGGTGGCTCTTCCCCTCCCCCTCCCTCCTCGCCGGCGGGGAGGGGCAGCCGCGGCCTCACCTGCGCGGCCGCCACCACCGCGGGGCAGGCTGCTCCCGCCGCCCCGCTCCCTCCCCGCCGGCGAGGCCGGGTGGGGGCAGGGAGGGCTCGGCGCTGCCCGCCGGCCGCCTCGCTGAGCGCCCCCGGGGGCGGAGGGGGGGGGGCAGGGAGGGGGGGGGGGGGGCGGCGCGGCGGGCGCCGTTACCTGTGCGCGGCGGGAGCGCGGCGGCGGGTGTCTCGGGGCGGGCGGCCGGCGCGGACTGTGCCTGTCTCGCGGCTCGCTTGCGCTGCAGCCTCGCTCGCTCGCTCTCTCTCTCTCTCTCTCTCTCCCCCAGCGCCGCACACGGCGTCTCCGCCAATCACCGTGCCGCAGCGCACGGGCAGCGCACCGCCCGTGACGTCAAGCGGGGCCATGGCAACGGCGAAAGGCGCGAGCACGAGCTCGCGCCTCCCCGCCCCGCCCCCCGGGCGCGCCGCAGGGCGGGGGCCTCGCCAACCGCCGCGGGCGCCGGCGGCGCGCGGGGCCGTCGGGACACGCCTGGAACCCCCCCCGCCCTCCTCACCTCAGGACTGCGGAGCCGAAGCTGTGGGGGGGGTGCGGGGGGGCTCCCCTTCGCCCTCCCCCCTCGCCCTCCCCTGCTTCCGCCGCTTGGCCGGCGGAGGAGATCGGCGGCGGCGGCGGAGCTGCCCCCGGGCCTGCGGCGCCGGGCGCCGTGTGGGAATGAGGGGGCGGCACAGCGTAATGCGGCCGTGGGTTGCGCGTGGGGGTCACCCCCGCCCCTCCGTTTACCCCCGGCGACCTCGCCTGGCTTTGGGTTTTCCACCAAGGTTGAGTTTTTCCACTTCCCTCGCCCCCCCCCGCCCCCCGCCATGTCAGGCCCCCGCGGGGACCTGGCGGAGCGTCCAGCACCGTCCCCGTGGCAGGGCCGCTGCGGTGGGGGCCGGGGTGGGAGTGAGCCCCGGGGGTACCGAGGGGACGGGGGCTCTCCCAGTGCAGGCGGGGCTGTGTGCCGATGAGAACGTGCTGACAGGAGTAGCAAGACTATTAAAATAATAAACATTGCCGTTGTTGGAATTTTTTTTTTTTTTTTGAAAAAGGAGTGTTTCCCAAAGGTGTTCAATGCCTACACTCATTTGTCCCCTTTCTGAACGGCTTGCCCCACCTCGAAGCCCTGGTTTGGGTATGCGGTGTCCTGAACTCTCCCATGATTTCTCCTGGGCCCTCGGATCAGCACTGTCTCACGGAAATAAGATGGAGAAAGCGCCTCGATACATTTTTTGAAAAGGTTCAGGTAGGGAGATTTTCTCTTCCAGACTCACATTGTATCTGGCAATGCCATGGAACAGGAGCATCTCCAGCAGGAGAGGGATGTTCCCTCCCAGGCTTGTGCCAGACTCTTGTGCCTGTGGGAGACCCTGGTGAGTGCTCCCTTCAGTGCCAGGTCTCATGTAAAACCTCAGGCTCTGGTCAGGAGGTCAGTTACTGTATCCCAGCTGCAGAACTGTGACTGGAAATCAAGCAGCGGCAGCAGCTTTCCAAGCAACTCCTGCTCAGATCACAAACACTCGCTTGACTAATCATTAAACGCAACTCGTGCAGATACAGCCACGGCGCAGGACGGGCATGTATTGATGCGGACAGGGTTGTAAAAATCTCTTGGTGGGGGAGTATGTGGGAATAGCACAGGAAGAGTGAAGTGCTTGCTTCTCGGAAAGCAAGAGGGAGTTATCAGTATTTGCGTTCTTGACGGGTGACTGGCTGGGACCAGGTTGGTGCAGTACCAGAGAAAACAGCGTCAACAGGTTCTCCTGCAGATGTGCTGCCTTCTGCCTCGTGCCTCCTAGCCCTGCCTGTACACCTCTCTGCCTTTTCCAGGCACTGCTGGAGTAGCTTCTCGGCATGTTCCTGGCCTTCCTTCCGCCCTGCACTCATGAAGTGACTGTAGACCTGAGAGTGTGATAAAGTGACCAGAATGGGGGTTTTATTTCTAAATCTTCGAAACAATGATCCTGTGTTTTGACTGAATATCAGAAAGCTGCTATTTTAAGCTCTACGTGACAGAACTGACTTTTTAAGAATAGGGCTTTTTTTTAAATTTACCCTTAAAATTGTATCATATAAAGGACAGTTAGGTTTTCTGTGGTGGCATTTTACCCACAGGGTTTGTTTAAGGATCTCTTAATACACTTTCTCATGGCCTAAGACATATGTTGGGGCTTGTCATAACATACATTTTTCTCCATATAAGTTTTGTCCAGCAACTTCTGCTATCTTAGACACTGATTTAACAGTGGGGTACTTTTTTTTTTTTTTTTTTTACTTTCATATCAGTTCTAGTGCCTTCCATTTACTCCAAGGTTTAATGAATTTCTCTCACGTTCCTGTGGAATATTGCTGGAATGCTTGTGAAGAGAGCTAAAAAAAAGCAAAGTGGGCAATATTGGGTAGAGCAAAGCTCACCAGAATTTACTAGCTGTGTCAGGTGAGAACATCACTGTTGCTTAATTTAAATGTGAAGAAGAATGTCACCTTCCTTTTTACTTTCCCAGTGATGCTTTGTTGGGGTATACAGATACAGAGGAGTTCGTTTTTGAAACAAGCATTGTAAGGCTCAGGTTCATAATGTATTCCAATACACAATGCTTCTTCATCTTATCTGTTTTTATTTTTTACCACTATTTTCCACTTTAGGAAGCAATAGGAGGAGAGCTTGAGAGCTGTGCTTGAACACAGATGGTATGATGGCACAGCATTTGCTGCGACTTGCTTCAAGTTATGTTACAGAGTTCATTTTTAACATAAGCTTTAAACCTCTATTTTGTAGAAAAGTCTCACTGAAATGGCAACCACCCAAATGTAGACTATACGTTTTCAGAGGTAGTTGAATATTTTGTGGTAATGTGATGAAAAATTAACTGATACAGGAAAAATAATATTCCTTAGAAGTGCATAAAGAATCCAGACTGAAGCATACATTAGATGAAGCACAGGTATGTATTGTGTTTTGATATCTGCAGGAAATACAGGGGGGAGCTGCTTGTGAAGTAGGCTGCAATACTGTAGGCAGTGTTAATAGTTTTGTGGAAGGAAAACATCAGCCTTTCCATTCAGTCCTTTCCATTATTTCTGGTTTTGGAGTAAATGGAACGTCTCCTGCGACAACGCTAATTGCCACTAACCATAGTTTTTGTTTGCTAACAGCCTCATATGTCAATAGATGCTGCACTGGTTCCCCTTTAAGTGGGCTATTTTTGCCAAACACCATTTCCACTCCTCTGGATTTCATGAACGCTGCCATTTGAAACAGATCCAAGGAATTAGACATTACTCACCTTTGCATATGCTGTCTCTTGAACAGATACTCTCCTGCTGTCTTCTGTTCTTATATTTCCTGCACTCTTCCCCCTGTGTGGAATGTTTTATTTTGTCTTTCTTATTGCAGTTTTGACCAGGGAACTCGGTCTCTTTAAAAGACAGGCTTTAAGCAGTTTCCCTTTTCTTCAAATGCATTTTGCCTGCTGCCCTCCATACAGCTTTTTGTTCGATGACTTGCACTTTCACTATCTCAGGCTGTCAGGAGTACTTGTCTGCAGCTAGGAGCAAAAACTCATTTTTAGAGTTAGACACATTTGCATACAAAAGTAGATATATGTGTGCTTATTTACAGTCATTCTTACTTTTGTTTCTTATATGAAGTGGAAGAAATGGAGAGGCCGGGGGGGGGGGGAAAGGGAGAAAATGACCCCAGATATCTTTTATTCTCCCTCTAATACAGCATTTAGTTCTTTCTTCTCTCTCATCTTTTCTCCCATAAGTGCTTTCTTCCCTGTGCTTAACCCCATTTAATTAAAAGTTGATGGGTAGCAAACCAGGGTTACCCACACCCTAGAAGAGGATGTCAGGGTTTTTGGGGGGTTACCCTCACACAGGCCAGGGAAGGCAGTCCAGGAAGTCTGTAGGAATAGCTCTTGAAAGTCAGCGAATGCTGTCAGGACTGGAAGGCACAGCGGTGGTTACTCTTGGTGCTAACCAGGCTACTGCTAGAAAATGGAGATGTTCTGACTGACTTTTTTTTTCCCCGGGGAACAGGAAAATGGGGAAGGGCAGCCTAGCAAAGGGCATTTCTTTGGAGACCAGGAGATGATTCTGCAAATCTACAGCCTGTGAGGGAAAAAAAGAAGAGTTGACAGCTCTGTTGTGTGCTCCTGCTGTCAGGAGCTACTTTTCCAAAAGCTGCTTGCTCAAAAGCCTGACTGTTGTGACTGTTACATACCTTTCTGTGTTGGTTCTCAGGCCACAAGATTATACTGTGTATAGGAGTATTCTTACGCAACCTTTGTGTGCTTCTGCAGGGCTTTGATTTCTTGCCCTCCACTTAGCAAGAGCAAGATCGTCGGAGTATTGCCACCTTTCTGGAATAAAACATTATTAACATTTTTAGGAATATGTCCTAGCTGTCTTTACTTCTTTCTCAGCCACAGCCTGTGATTTACAAGCAAAACCTAAAACTCTGCACGAGGGAACGAGGTCTTTCATTCCCCTCTGTAGTCTGAAGGTGCTTTTGGGTCAACTGACACCCTTTCTCCTCAGGACACTCTTGTAGCTTGATCCATCTGAGAGACTTCAGCGAAGATGGATGCATTTCAGACTTGGCTTTTCTTTTTTGTTCCTTTTTTACTCCTCCAGTGGTCTAAAATGAGTCATATTCTGACTCTCTGTCAGGTGCCAGTGATAAAACATACAAATTGTGGATAAGGCTGATATTTTCCATCACTGGGTGGAAAATATTTAGAGCTGCAGGATCTCACATGGGCTTTCTCTCTGCCTCATTGAAGATGTCCTCAGAACCTTCTCTAACCTCCTCACCTGCCTTTCCATGGTCTAGTTTTATAAAAAATTACACATTTTGCTGAAGAATCAAAGTACCAGTGAGTCCTGCAGAAGTAATCCCATACCTTGGATTAAAATCCTCAAATGATTTTGTATATGGACTGGTTTAAGTATATCTATATTAGAGAGTTATTGCATGGTTGGAAGTGTCCCCAAGGATGATTCCTTAAGATTCAACTGTCAGTAAAATGCAAAGGTCATTTTCACAAAAATAATTTTTAAATGTTTGCAAACATCTTGTCACCAAAGTGACAAGTATCCAGGGAGGATGTCAGAATACCTACCAAATAAATGGCGTAGAAGTGATGAATTATAAGTTATCACATTTCGTGATTCTGAAAAAAAGCACTGTAAAATGGGAACTTCTTTCACAGAACTTGTCACCAAATGAAGAAGATAAATCAGCACTGCTCTTCCTACTGACCTTTCTGAGAAAGGAAGCTAGATGCTGCTCTTCCTTGTTTAGAAAAAGCTCCTGAAAGGTATGAAAGACTAAGTTTGCATGGGGGTCACTACGAGCTGAATTTAATCTAAAGAACTTTTACTTCTGACATTTAGTGTATGAGATGGGGGAGAACATCAGGACCTGGCTGCACTTGAAGGGCTGCAATGACTTTCAGTAACCAGTTAGCCGGAGGGAGAGTTTGAGAGGTCTGGGTGGCGAGGCTGTCATGTATGTATAGGTCCATATATGAATCTCATTTGGTTTCTTTCACTGTAATGTTTAAGGGTGTTAGTTAGTGACATAGTTAATATAAAAGTGTGTAAAAGTATGTAAATTCTTGAATTGCTGAAAGCTCATTTTGAAAACAGGCACCTTAACATTGCTTTGGATGGATCTACTTTCCCATGGAAAATTCATTTTGTTTCTGCACCTGAGATGATTTTACAATAATAGATGAAAACTTCAAGGCTGCACGGAATAACAAAGTTCATCACTCTTGAATAAGGTTGATTAATCAGACTATTTTGAGATGAGTGTTTTAGTGATGCTGCTGCAGTCATCAGGACGATGGAGAAATCAAATGAAATATCTCCAACATCAGTAACAGAAAGGAGATATAACATGAGTGTTTGAAAACAGTTGGCTAGACAGAGGCCTGCAAGTGGAATATATGTGGTTTATATATTATGATTTTATTACATTATCGTTCCTAACTGATTGCCCAACTCTGAGGTATTTGTCTGTCTTCCAAAGATACACTGAAATAGTGTATTGCATATGTTTTATTCTCCATTTGTCCCTACAGGAAGCAAGATGGATGGTGCCAAAACGGGCGTGCTTTGCCCTGGGATGGGTGAAGGCGGTTGGCCACCCGCTCCACTGGGAACACCGACTGAACGTGGGTCCTCCAGGGCTGGGAGTACGAGTTCGACTGAATTTCTTATGGTGTTGATAAATTAACTGTGCATCCATTTTATCCCAGTCCTCCACACAGGACTGGATTACACCCTGAATTACTGAATCCGGAGTAATTCTATTGGTTTATAGATTAAAACAGTTATTTTCTTTTTGCAAACAATAGCTTTGGGGATTTGGGAACTTGGAACTCTTTTTAGCTTGTATTAATTTCCGTTATGTGTAACTGCTCTTGAGTGAGCAAGATAATACTTTAAAAGCGTTACCAGAAGAGACAGGATGTCTTGAAGCAAACTTGAGACTAACATCATTCTATTATACCTACTTTGATTTATTTTTGGACTTACTTTTTATTTATTTGTACTTACTAGCTAATGTTATTTTAATGTTTATTGTCAGGAAAAACACTCCATAATGTCTTGTTTCAAATCAGTTCTGCCACTCGATTTACAGATTCTTGTCTTGCATGCATTTGTCCTGGGTTGGTCACTTATTTTTTAAATGATAAATTATTTATTCTCTTTACATTCTTTAGAAATATACTATAGCTGTTAGAGTTGAAGGCATCAGAAAAAATGCTGAGGTGGAAGTTACCAGTCTCATAGGGTATATCCTAAGGATTTCTGGAGGACCTCAAAACCAAAATAGCACAGCTGCTATAGGATACATGAAAACTCTCACCATCAACATTTGCCATTGAAAGAATCAATGGGTAACGTACTGACCCTGCATTTTTATAAAGTAATCCAAGGAATTATTAGCACAGTGAATTGTGTAGATGGTTATTTGGAATTAAAAATGGTATGAAACAGCACCTCAAAGGTCATCTTATGAGGTGTTCTAAGAAATGACAATTTCTAGCGTAGCAAAATCTCATTAATCTCTTCCTGGTATCTGAATGGTTCAATACAGATATGGATGAAGCAGAACTTACTAATATATTTCATTTAGATTTTCACAAGCCCTTGGTAAAGTTATCACAACAGTTTACTAAAGAAATTCACGGTGTAGTTTTACAAGGGCAAGTTAGGCCCATAAATACATATTTAAGTAACTTTATTCCAGTTATAGGCATTAGTAGCATTTCTAATCTTGAAGGTTTGCTTAATACAGTAGGAACTTACATTTTTGCATTAATAACATTTCTAATCTTGAAGGTTTGCTTTATACAGTAGGAACTTATATTTTCCACTGGTAAAATCGCTCAGTTCCCATGTTTTTGCTGCTGAGCATGTGCAAAACCATCTTGACAGCTCCAGGCTGCTAAGCACCAAAGAAATACATAAGCATTTTCTTGCAAGTTTCCTCACAACTGCCTGTCAAATTCAGTTTTGCATCCCAGCAACCAATTTCAACTAATTTTATTTTATACTGACTACATTTATCACAATTTATTTCATATTCTTGATAGGATATTGAAAGAGGCTCTCAGGGCCACAGATTGCTGCTGAAATGTTAGACAACATTTGGCATGAACAAGATCAGAAATTAAAAACTGGCATTTTTTAGCCTGGTTGCCTTTGAAATGAGGTTTATGAGATTGTGCTGTTTATCTCTCTGTACATTCAGCAATTCCCCTTAAAAACTTTGGGACCCAATTTCAACCAAATTTGAAAGATGAGCTGAAATCTCAAGATAAATAAGGTCTGTGAAAAACTGCAGCTGTACAGAGGACAAAGTGCGTAATTAAATGCCTGCGCTGTGGAAAAGGCAGGTGGAAGCCAGCCTTTATATAGCGGCTGAGAGCCGCCAGCCTGCCAGAGTATGCTCAGAGATTTCTGATTGAGCATAGCATGTGCCTTATAAGGAGAGTGGGTTTCTGAAGAGAACCTGAGCTTGTTATGGCAGAGGAGATTTTAGGAGACAAAGAACACAAGTCCATGAAAACAATCAATCAAACCCCACCTTATTTGGTTTACTTTTTCAGAGCAACTCAACTCTCTTGCCCTGCCTCTTCTTCCTCCCCACCCTGAACGCCTCTTTTTCCTCCCGAAATCTCTGGAGCCTGTTACTATATTTGTATTCCCCTTGCTCTCCTGGCTCAGCATCAATTCTTGTAACTTAACCGGCCTAAGAATTCTGATTTAGTAATGAGGTCTCAGATATACTGTGGTGGGAGCCAGTTAATGGCTGTTTCTTCATCCAAAGAGTTCAACCAGGCTGTTAGGATGTGCTCATGTCAACAGCTGTAACGGAGCTAATTGGTACAGACCCCTTTCCATCCTGATTGGAGTATCTCCTGCTTTGATGTTTATACTCATCAAGCATTTGTGGGTTCTTACTGTGCCCCTCTGCCAGCTACTGGACATTTTAAAGACCCACGTGTTGTATGGTGGGATTCATGAACCTAGTTTAAAAAAAGCTAATTAGAATTAAGCAAATTCTTGTTTTTTAATTCTAAATACATTTCAAATAGTAGATCCAACCTAACATAGCAGTGTTTTTAGAATATTCCTATAAGGTATGGAGGCTTACAACTGTCCCACAGGGTCTGTATTACTCTAAAAAAATGTGTGAGAGTTGTGTATTTTACAAATTAGCCTAGCTGGAGAAACAATGAAAAATGCCTCGTATCCTTTTTGTCTTTTCTGCCAGGTTCTTCCTCAAGATGGCTACCTTATTGAGCATGGAAAGTTTTTGTAGTTCTTCTCTGGTCTATTATCTAAACGGGACACAATTGAGCTGATGTCAAAACAAAGAATACACACATGCATAGTACTGGGCTGTGATAAAAGCTGCTCTTCTGCACAACTTCCCAGCTTGTGAAACCTGTCTAGTTTTGCATAATAGATAAGCCCCAGGAAGTATAAAATTAGTGGGAGTACTTGCAGTGTGGCCAAGTTACAGTTTTACAGCCGTTTAAAGGTCAGCAGCAAATTGACATCTACACCCAGTCCTGCAGGATAAGGCTCTGCAGGGACAGCTCTCAGGCAAACATCAACATGGTTTGCCTGGGGCTATATGGAAAACCTGAGGCCGAGGAGGGGGCTGAGATCCCACCCTGTCGCATGCAAACCAGGGCCAGAGTTACCAAGCCAATCTTTCTTGTCATTTATCTAGGGCAGACTTTGAAACCTAAACCTTGAGGAAAGGGTTTTGAAGCAAAACCTCTAGACCTAAGGTCTCACAGGGCAGGTACTCTTTTTCTCCCCAACTTCTGGATTCTCTTTTTCTTATTACTGGACTTGAAAATAAGGTTTCCATGAGAAGAAAGTGAAACTGCTGAAGGAGACTACCAAGTTTATGGATATTATTATCTCTCAAATAGTTAACATCTCACTTCTCAGTTAAACTTCCCCCCCCCCCCCCCCCTAAACTTGGCAGGCTTCTGGCTAGGCTAATTAAGAGTGCAACTAGGCTGTAACCAAATGATCTCTGTGATACAGCAAGCAGCATGCAAGCAGCAATAATAGCAGCAGACTAACTACAGAATGCTGTGAGTTCCTCTGAGCTTCACTAACAGATTTGTTGATCAGCTCCAGATTTTACAATGTCATTTTTTTTCTTCTTCTTTAACAGAAAAACTGTCACCAGAGCTGGTTACAGCTCACGCCTGCAAATGCAAAAAGTGGTATGGAGGCAACAGCGCACGGGAAGACTTGCTAGGCCGTGGATTAAGATGCGTATCAGTGCCAGTTTCCAGATCAGATGGTTTACCCAAGGAAGGAATAGGTGGAGGGACAAGATTTGGGGAAAAAAAATAAACCCAAAAAGCCTGCTGTAGAAAATGTTCCACCTGCAGTGAAAACTAAAAGGAAGAAGGGTAATAAAAGGAGTATGAAATGTATCTGGTTTCAGAATTTGGCTGAAGAAAAAGAAGCAGTAAAAATCACTACTGCAGATGAAATCCATAGATGGTTGTAAAGGATGGAGAGATCTGTACTGCATCCTGCAATTATCGGAAAGCACAGGGGATGAGGGGGTGTTAATAAGCAGATTATAAGACAAGGTGGAAGTGTCCAGCTAGAGCTGTGGTTAATGTTCAGGCAAGAAGTTCTTGAAATGCCCTGAACTCCACATAAATCCATGAGTCAGCGCAGTATATGCTACAGCTACTCAGCACTGACCAAGATGCTCTCTGAACTATTGGTTTTCTCCATCTCCTACAGATAGCTGGTGATGAGGCAGACATGGTTAGGAGTTCTCTTTCTGATTAAACTTTTAAGCTCTTGGTGCACTGACACTTGATCTGTAATACCAAACCTATCCCTCAAACAGCTGGATGCAAACCCAAGTAGGACTTTTCCTGCAGGCTCTCGACTAATAAGGTAGGCTGACATACCTGTACCACAGCTGTAAATGAAGCCTCTCCTGGCACTTGTGCAGTGTGCCCCTCCCAGGAAGATTTGGGAGTTTGCTAGGCATGCCCTGTCCCTGGCTCACGCAGTCCCTGGCGCTGCCCCGACATTACGGAACAATTTATTTCTCCAGCATATCACCTCTCCAAGTAAATAAGGCATAGCAGCTCAAAGGATGTTCAGAGGGTTCTTCAATACATTCATTTGGATATATGTGGCATTAAAGTGCTCTTTTTCTATGCCTTGGTGCTTTGCCACCAACCAGAAATCCCTCCCTTCCCCACCATGATCTTCCTCCCACAGACCAGCCTTGCTGGTGATTTTGGCCTGCTCCTCCCTTCCCCAGCACTCCCCAGCGAGCTTCTTGCTCTGACAAATTCTCCCTTGGCAACAATAGCTCTTGCTGGGTTCCTCCCAGTCTGTGGTCATGGCTACTGGGGTGTGAAGTGTTCTGCCCACCTGAGTCAGAAATGCTCGGCAGCTCCACTGACAGCATAACAAAGAGCAAGTCACCAGCTGAATTGTACCCAGCCGTCGGGACTGTCTCAGTGGAAAGGGCTGGATGTGAGAATACCTGGCCTGAACGCTGGGAACTCTCAAATTATTTTTTCAGCTCTAACAGTCTGCAAACGGCTTCAAATTTATGAATCCATCCTGTATGTAATTTAGAAGTGAAAAAATAAATTGCAAAAATAAAAATGTTTCTCTACCGAAAAACGATTCTATGTGATGTTTTGGGAATGGAAAAGAATCCCCAAACTAGATTACAAAAATACACAGTATATTAT